TTGTTGGCTCTCAGGGGCTATATCTATAGAGAAGAATGCATTAGCCAAGTCAACCACATAGTGACAAGTACCCAATTCATGGGAAATCCGGTCCAGCAAATCTGTTATATTTGGCACAGCTGCGTGCACGCGTGTAGTGAGTTTATGCAGTTTCCGATAGTCCACTGTCATCTTCCAGGAGCCTTCAGGCTTAGCCACAGTGGAGAGTTACACGGGCTATGGGTCGCCCAAATAAAACCGGCTTCCTCAAGCTTCAGAATACTCTGTCCTATTTCCTCATTGCCTCTGATCAATCGACATTGCCGGACATTCACCACTCGTGTGGCCTGTGGCAAAATCATAGGTGTGTGATGAGGATGCCCCCGGATAACTGTTTTCACCACGCGAACTCTCAGGCAAAATTCCCCTTGAGTTGTCTGTATTTGTAATCCTTGCAAAATGCCTCTTCCCAGAATATATTCAGCTACTGGGGATATATGCACTTCATATGCAGCAGCGGGCAGACGACCAATGTCCAAAATCAGTCACTAGTTTAACGTGAATTTGCTTGTTTCCATATCCTTCTATATTAACCCATGGTCCCCCAAAATGCTCTGGATTTCCATGCACTAATCTCAGCTCCTGTGTCTACTTGTGGCAGTACTCGCTGTTGATTCATGGGGAACTAGTGGATAGTCAGTTTAAAATGTGGTTTCTGATTGTCAGGGTGCCCCACATACTGAACACTTTGGCCTTCCTCCTAGTCCAGGAGGAAATCAGCAAAGGCCACTTCTTTGGCCTGATGGGAGTTTGGCAAATGAGTGTATTGTTGCTCAGGCTGTAATTTTTTCCATAAGGCCATCAGCACCTCCAAAGGCTGGCCATGTAATTTTACATGGTCTAAGCCAGCCGCCAGTAAATCACATCATATCTGCCGGCGAGCTAGCTTTTGGGGCCCTACCAAAGTTGGAGCCTTCCCCAACTTCCTCCTCTGTGTGAAGTTCCCTTTCTAAGTCACTGCACCATAGGTCTTGGACTCACCGTGAGTCTTGGCAGTGCGCACCCCCTTCCAGAGTATTTCTACATCCCCCAGACGAGCCAGAGCCTCAGTAACTTCACGTATGGGCCGGTCTACATATGTTGCTAGTAGTGCCACCACAGACCCAAAGGAGCAGTAGCCATGAGGGGAGTGACTCACCATAAGCTGTTTACATTGCTTTGCCAGGTCTCGCAATACCATTAATGTATAAGACATAAAGTAGGTTTGTCGCGTCGATAGCTGCGGTCCCGCAGGAGGTCCCCGCTGAGCCAAGGGCTCCTCCAGTTTCACCCCCGCCCCACCACGGGCTGTAACACAGCGGAATCGGGGGAGGGGTCGGGCTTACTGCCCTCCGGGAAGGTGGGACCGGAGCTGCACAGACACAGTAGCTCTTGGAGGCGGCGGAGCTAGGACCACGCGGGCACCTTTCTGCTGGGCTGAGTCTCCGCTGGAGTTCCTCTTCCCTGCGCTGTAACTGCTCTACC